CTTCTTGGAATTACCTTATAGGATCCCAACTCCGAAGTTGGAAACCAGACCCTCAAACCTGAACCCTAAGACTCTAACCCTAAACCCTAAGACTCCCTAAACCCTAAACCCTAAGACTCTAGGACCTTAGGACCCTCAACCCTAAACCCTAAGACTCTAAGCCCTTTCCGCTGTAAATCACGAAGCCAAACCTCGAACCCCCACAGCCCAGACCATGAAACTCTAAGCCCACCTAAACCTATGGTAAGCCCACGAATCCCCTAAACCCCGACATCGAGATATTTAGGGTTTAGGGCTTATACGGATTTTCGAAACCTAAATCCATCACCCCAAACCCCGTGACCCTAAACCGAAATTTCCGAGCCGTCAAATTCCTTTTCAAATCTGAGGCCCCAGGCACAAGCTGGACAAAGCTCCTGGGGCAGCGATTTTTTAAGCCTCGGGTACAGAAGGTATAGTTTATGTATTCCAACAAAAGAACACGTACATACATATACAGAGAGAGAGAGAGAGCAAACCTTCGAGGGGTACTTTAATGTAGGGGCCGGCTTACTACGATCAAGTTTCACCTTAAACGTTCGATGAAAGGCCTTGGGTGTTCCATACCCTAAACCCTAAACCCTGAAGGCTGGATTTAAGCCCAAACCCTAAACCTAAACCCTAAACCCTAAACCCCAAACCCTAAACCCTAAACCCCTAAACCCTAAACCCTGGGCCGTGAAGTTCAGGCAGTTGTCAGGTCGGGATTCGGGGGTTTTCGATGTAGGGATTCTGAGTCGGGATTCAGGGTTTAGGGTTTAGTATGGGAGACGTAGGGTCTCGGGTTTGGGGTCGTTTAGGGTTTGGGGGCTTAGGGTTTCGGGTTTAGGGTTGTTTAGGGTTTGGGGGCTTTGTGTTTCGGGCTTCGGGTTGTTTAGGGTTTGGGGGCTCAGGGTTTCGGGTTTCGGGTTGTTTAGGGTTTGGGGGCTTAGGGTTGAGAGTTTCGGGTTTTGGGGCTTCGGCTGTTTGTAAGGAGCACAATCCAGGGCCTAATTAGGTAGGCTTTGATATGTCGTTGGGGTTTCGTGTTGACAAGTAGACTTGCGGAGGTCTTTGACTGCAAGTCAAGCCTCTCTAATACGTCTTTTGCGATGAGGTGTGTTTCACAGTTTTCTGACTGAAGCTCTGAACCCTGAAAGATACAATCCTGAAGCGTCCCCCCCTTCCAAAAAAAACACAGGCACACACGCACACGCACAATAATTGCAACACCCTGAACCGTGCATTGAACAGCATTGCCCCGCAGCAATTCCTGTGCCGCTCGTTGCTGAACGCAGCTGTGGGGTTGCAATCCTTTTAGCTGAAGTCTCATCCACTTTCTCGTTGTTCACACAGAGGTTCGTGCACATCTTTGCAGCTCGCTCTTTCTCGCTCTCCCCATCTCTGTCTCGCTCTCTCCTCCTACAGCCTTCAGTACTTCGTTGCCTACCAGCAACACACACACACACACAGAGACACACACACACACACACGCACACAAGTAACCCTGGGACCCGAAAACCCCCCTAAGCCCCAAACCCTAAACCCTGCCATCACCCCCCCAAGTACCCTTTTAAAGAGCCCTTATGGTCCTTAATCGTGGGTCTTTAGGGTATAGTAGAGGGTACCCTAAACCCTAAACCCTAAACCCTAAGCCCCAAACCCTAAGAGGGTACCCTAAACCCTAAACCCTAGACCCTAAGCCCCTAAGCCCAAAACCCTAAACGCCCCGGTCCTGAGCCCTAAACCCTAAACCCTAAACCCTAAATTCGCCCCGGTCCTGAGGAAGATGTTGAAATTCAAGGCCAATCCGCTGGCAACCGCCTCGCAGTCCGAATTCAGCCTCGCACCAGAGGGCACCGGCCCCCGGGTTAGGGTTCTGGGGTTTAGGGTAGGGCTTTTATAGCGTTTAGGGTTTAGTGTTTAGGGCTTTTAGGGTTTAGGGCTTTTATAGCGTTTAGGGTTTAGGGCTTACGGCTTTTAGGGTTTAGGGCTTTATAGGGTTTAGGGTTTAGGGCTTACGGCTTTTAGGGTTTAGGGCTTTATAGGGTTTAGTAAAAGGTTTGGGGCTTTTAGGGTTTAGGGCTTTTATAGGGTTTAGTAAAGGGTTCAGGGCTTTTAGGGTTTAGGGCTTTATAGGGTTTAAGGGCTTAGGGCTTAGGGCGTTTAGGGTTTAGGGCTTTTGGGGGTTTGGGGTTTAGGGATTTTAGGGTTTGGGGTTTAGGGATTTGTAAGTTTAGGGTTGGCAGGTAGTGATTGAAAGTCAGGGTGCTCAAAATCCCAAGGTTTGCCGTTGGAGATCGTAAAGCTAAAGAGTCTGGTAAGCTAGGCGGGCTTCTGGAGTTGTGCTTTCTGTAAGCCCAAACCCCTAAACAATAAACCCTAAACCCTAAATTCAGGGTTGCTAAAGAACCGGAAAGTCTTCTGGTATCGGATTCAATACCTAGGGGTCCCCAGGCCCGCAAGGGACGGCAAGCGCCAGGCCTTAGGGTTACTTGTCGATTGAAAGAAAGTAAAGCTTCCGTTACTTGGAGGCGCAGGGGACTTAGTAAGTAGGTTATAAGCAGAGTTATAAGTACCCTAAAGCCCTAAATGGAGTTACCCCAATTATAACCCGACTTATAACCGACTTACTAAGTCCCCTGGGCCTCTAAGTAGGGTCAAGCAGAGACTGTCGGCTGGCCCTAAGGACTTGTCAGAAGAAGGTTACTTGGAGGGTCGGGAGACTTAGTAAGTAGGAAATAAGTAGACTTATAAGTACCCGAAAAGGGACCCTTATTGGGGTTATAGTACTTATAAGTCTATAAAATTACATAACCATTTACTAAGCCCCCCGACCCTCCAAGTAACCACCTCAACAAGAGTACGACGCCCAGTTGGGGCTATCGACTAAGCTACTAAAATCATACCTGCTATCGAGTAAGCTACTAAATTCAACATTTTTTGAGTTTAGGATTTGGGGCGTGAGGGGCACAGTCTCCTTCTGGATCTGTCAACCTCAAATTCGGATGACAGCTCACTCAAATCCGGAACAAGGCCCGAACCCAACCGGATCTTGCCTCTTCGTTGTGCATGCTCCTCCCAATGCGATGAAGTAAAGAAGACCTTGCACTGAAACCTGAACCCCAGCACCTTATCCCAAAACCCCCAACCCTTCAAATTTAGGGCTTAGGGCATAGGGTTTAGGGTATGGCATCGAAATGGTACCCTTTCGAGAACCATTACAGCAAGGCTTTTTGCAAAAAGTCTAGTAGCCCTTACAGCCCGAAGGGTCCATGTACTCACACAGTATATGCTTTGGCCTTGAAGTAGTCAGTAGTCCCTCTGTACGTATTCTACGGCCAAAGTATATATACTATTTAAGAATACGGACCCTTAGGACAGTAAACCTTAAACAAAGTACACCAACCCTAAACCCTAAACCCTAAACCCTAAACCCTAAACCCTAAAGAATACGGACCCTTAGGACAGTAAGCCTTAAATAAAGTACACCAACACCAGCCTGCTGGTAAGCTCGCCGACCTTGTGGGTGGATGGTTGAGGGGTTTTAGGGTTTTAGAGGTTTAAGGGTTTAGTATTTAGGGTTTAGGGTTTAGGGTTTAGGGGTTTAAGGGTTTAGTATTTAGGGTTCAGGGTTTGGGGTTTAGGGGTTTAAGGGTTTAGTATTTAGGGTTCAGGGTTTTGGGTTTAGGGGTTTAAGGGTTTAGTATTTAGGGTTCAGGGTTTGGGGTTTAGGGGTTTAAGGGTTTAGTATTTAGGGTTCAGGGTTTGGGGTTTAGGGGTTTGGGGTCTAAGTTTAGTCAGGGTTGAGGGTTTAGGATTCAGGTGCTCGTCTGGAAAGGCTACATCGCTCATGGCTGATACAGTTAAGGTTTGGGGATCCTGCTTAACTCAGAGCAACATATTCAGTTCTTGTATCCCCAAGCAACGGGACACCCCCAAAAGAGGTATATAATTATACACTTGCGGATATGCTGCACCGAATGAATTACAGGAAAACCAACTCAGGTCAAATAGCACCGACGCCGACGCTCAACTGATCCAAGCCAGATGAACTCTGACAGTCTGGGCCATGGAGATGCGAAGACCAGGGTTCAGGGTTCAAATGTTTAGGGTTTACTTTAAGTTTCACATTTGGGGAGCTAAGCTTGTGGTCGCGGGGGCGGATTGATGCGCATAGCCGGAGGGAAGTGCAGAACCAATATTCTAAGAAAGAGGCTCTTGCCTTGAAGCGGAACACAGCCCGGCTTCTTTCGGGATTCACAGCTGCAAGGATGATCTCGAACACATAGCCAACATCTCTCAAGGACACAGGCACGGCTTGCTTGTGTGATTCATGCTTTACCGTCTACAGGCTTGAACCTCGATCACTCCAAAAACCGCCCTAAACCGTGAAGACTCAACAAAAAACACCCTAACACCTGTATACCTATAGTAGTGGGCAATTGGAACAACGGATTGATCCGCAGATCCAGCGCATTGCAGAAACCCTAAAAGCCCAAACTCCTAAACACCCGGAACCTCAAACCGCAACAACCCAAGCCACAAACAAATGACGAACAAAGACACACCCCCGCCCAACATGAACCAAGAACGCAACAATCCCAACTCTGTCAACATGCTCTTGGCGCCTGAATAAACTGGGAAACGTCGCCTCGTGCATGGGACAAGGACAGGGATATGATCTTGAAGCTTAGCGGCTTAACGTTGGCATGAAAGCCGGCTTCATCCGACTCGATCCGCTATAGACTCTAGACTCTAGACGCTCAGCTTACACGCTTTGCCCTGACTTAACACTAGAATAAATCATAATTCTTCTTAGGATCCCGAAGGAATGGAAGTTATTGATAAACACATCAAACCTTAGGCCCACCCATAGGCCCTAAAGTAGTTCCTTTTTGGGGTTCATATATAGAATCCTATAAGGTAATCCCAACAAGGAAATATTATTGGCCAATGGGCAAACTCACTCAGACAGAACACCCTGAGGGCTGCACGTCACGCAGATCGTGAAATGCAATATCTTGCTGCAGAAGACGCGAAAAGGTCTGCCTGCGGGATGTTCTTGATGGTGCTTTAGAAGGACTGGGAGAGTGAGTGCCTGAGCATAGTAGCCCATGTCCCAACGTAGTATAATATAGGGGCCTTAATGATTAGAATAGGGTTTTGGGGCACTATAATACTATAACTATAACAAGGAACCCCCAATATAACATTTGGTAATTTTTAGGCCCCTATAGTACACAGGTAGCAGTTTCGGGTTCTGGCTTGAACGGACGCTCTTGATGCGAGTTCCCTAATCTGCCGCCGTTCTTTTTTCCAGGCAAACGAGCAAGCTGTGTTCAAGAAACGTCACTCAGAACACCAAACTTGCCCTTCTTTGGCATCATGCATTTCT